TTCCTCATTTGCGGTTGACGTATTAATTTTTTTTAAAACATTACCACACTGTGTAAGACGACCTCTTGTCTAATTCGGCCGTTTCCTCCATCATGGCAGCAGTCTTGGCGTCACTGACAGATTCCAAATTAGTTTTGTTTGTCTTGGGGGTTTTCTTTTTTGATTGCTTTGTATTATGTTTGTTGGCTTGATTTCTAATAAACTTCTTAAAGCCCCCATCGACATTATTCAGATCCTTGAGAAGTCTGACTTTGACCCTGCCGACGCGCTATAGAATGGCCTTTAAGCTCAGCCAAATATTAATGTAATCGTCGATATTTCACACCTTCACCGACACAATCTTAGCTAAGAATCTGACTGAGAATGAGGCAGACATACCAACCACCGTGTTTTCGAACGGTGAAAATAATTAATTACACAAGTTACAGGATGAGAAAAATGGATCACGATGGATTGTTTCAATGTGAGGAAAGGAAAACATGACGTTTAATTTTGTGGTGATTTCATCAAAACTAAGAACTGATAGATTACATTTTTATTGAAACACTCTGACAAATTCAAGCCTTTGTTAGCCATGAGAGGCAGGGTCGTAGTAGCCCACCTTCTAAATGATCATTGAGGGTTTCATAATCATTATGATAATAATAGTTCTGCCGTCTATGTCAGAGGATTGCAAATACATCTGAGGAAATCTGGAGAGGGCCGGCCGACCATTAACACTTAACTCTAACCCCAACTCTAACCTAAACACTAAGCATAACCCTAACTCTAACCCTAACCCTAACCCTAACACTAACTCTAACCCTAACCTTACCTTAACACTAACCCTAACTCTAACCCTAACCTTAACCCTAACCCTATCCCTAACCCTAACCATTGTATAGTTTGCTCAGTGGACCTTGTCACGGTAAGTGCCGGCCCTCTGCGGAACTCTTCCCATTGCATCTACAGAGGAAAAAAAAGACATATAGAAGAAATAAAGATAAAAACTTGTAGCTTCTGCTATGGCCATGCATTGAGAGCTAGATCTGGCAGAGAAGGGTTAGTTAGTTTGTTACGTTTTCATCATTTAAAAATATAATTTCCACTCAAGGATGTACGCACCTTATGAGCTGCTTGTCTTCTCTTCAGCTTTCTTACATTTTCAGTTCGTAAATCCTCGTATGAATTGCTGCGCTCTGTGATTGCTGTCTCTTACTGGGACCGCCAGGAGCAATAAGCTTCCACGTCGAAGAAATAATATTGAAATCCTTCAGAAACATTTTCATGGTGACTTTGTAGCATTTTAATTTAATTTAATTTAATTTTATTTTATGTTTTTCGCGCAAGAACTTTTGCGCTTCCCTGAAAACAGTTCAGAATAGAAAACAACCTTTGGAATTTAAAAAAAAATCAGGTGTACTTCCCACTTTGCCAGCCCAGCGAAGTTTAGTACTTTTCAGCTGAGTGAAAAACACTCTCGGTTTTTGTCCCTTTTGAGAACTTCAGTGGTTGGTTGTTTCTTTTCTTTTGTTGTTGGTTTTTGTTGTTGTTGTTTTTTTCAGGGGGGGGGGTTCATGTCATTTGATGCCCTCAAATCTCCTGAGACAATTAACGTGGGAAATAATTCAGCTCTTAAGCATGTCTTTTTGTGCACCATCGAGGTCTCAACAGCACTCAAAAGCTTTGGGAGGGCAACGACTTGGTAGACGTTCAACGTCAGCTCTAGTGGCGAGGAAAATATCTACATTTACAATCGCATTTACAAAGATTTCAGTACGCCTCACGGCACTTCCTGACAATTGTTTAGTTCTCTCCCCTGGGAGAGTGTGCTGGGAGAAATTAGAACATGCTTGGTCAGAGAGTATTGTACGTTCTACTTGTTTTTGTTTGTCTTCGTAGAGGTTTTACGGTGCTCGTAACTGCATAGGCCATATGAGCGACAGGAGATTAGAGGTGTTACAAGAGAGTAACAAATATAACAAAGAAAAAGAGGAGATAAGGACGATACATGTTTGATAGGAAAGAAGAAGCAAACCACACCAGAGTACCTGCCAACAACCCATACACTTGTCTT